GAAATTTGTTTATAGGCAATTTTTTGATTAATTTATTTTAGGGAAAGCATCTATCAAACACAGCAGGGATGAAGGTGAATGCAATTTTAGAACACTGCTTCTGAGATACCATTGCCTTCTGTCTTTGATGAGGCTATGCTTCAGTGGATCTGGGATCAGTGTGACTGTCAAACTGGTTTCATATACTTGTATAAACATAGATGAAGAGACATAGCCACCTTCCCAAATGGTGTGTGTGTCAAGGTTGTTGCATTCCTTTAAGAATCAAGTTCTGTGGCCCATTTCCCAGGCAGTGCTCAGGATTGGAAGGGAAATGGAGTGAAACATAGGCAGGATTTATTGGATATATAGTGAAATTCAAATCTACACATCGAGCTGAAGGATAAGTAGGAATTGGTCTGGTGAAGACTAAGGAGGGGTGTTTCCAAAAGAGCGTGTGAAGGATGTTACACTGAAAGATGCAGTGGGAACCGTGATTGTCAGTTTGGAAATGTACTTAGGCCTATGTGCCTAAGGCTTTGTGCTCAGATTGGGACTACTGGGAAGAGTGTGACCTTTAGAGGTGGACATTGTTGGCCAGCCTTTAGGCTTTGGAGGCATGATCTTGAAGGGACTGTAGGATCCCAGCCCCTTCCAAAATTTCTCTTGCTTCCTGTGCTTTACCAAGACTTCCTACTAATACCACTGGCACTTGAGGCCTACAGTGGGTCCCTGGATTGTGGGTTAGAAGCTCAAGAATGAACACAACAGATCTTTACTGTTTGTAAATGAGTCACCCCAGACAGTTGTTCTAGTGACAGACAGTTAAATAACTTGTAGTGGAAGGTTAAGTTAGGGTCAGGGCTTTGATTCCAGGCCAAATGAGTTGGATCATCTATTGTAGGCTATCACTGAAAACCATTAAGCAGGGAAACACAGTGTCTGTGCCTCATGGAGGAGGATCATTCCAGGCTATCACATTACTTCTGGGTAGATGCAACTCTCCTGGTACCTTACTGGCCTAGATTTTGATGCCTGCCTCTCCTAGTATGACTTGGATCTGGGTCAGCAATTCCCATCCTTGGTTAGGGTAGCTGGGAAGGGAGTCCCAAGACTTGGTCTGAAATAGCAACCCTGGGAGAATGTGCCTTCCCAAGGCTAGCACTAGGTGGTCCTCATGTTCACAGCCATTACAGCAGTCTTTGTAATCCTGCTTTAAAGGCAGCCCATCAGTTCTTGCAGTAAAGGTGTTTGTTTGCTTTGGTGGAAAAACTTTGTTCTATTTTTCAGAGGTAGACAGGTCTAAAGAGGAAACAATTTGAATTCAAGGGCTGGATGTGCATGTCTAGCTCCAATCAGGTTCTTGTATGGGTCTGAGTGTGGCTGAGGCATTCTCCAGAGGTTAGGGACTGTTCTGCCCTGTGTCAGGGCCGCTTTGCCTGGAGGAAGGAACGTGAGTGCTAAAGATTTATGTTCGATAGTGATTTTACCAGAGGCTGTAGAAGGCAAACAGAAGTAAGAATGCCAGTAGAGCCTCTGGGCTCTTGTCTGAGATGAGACTCTTGATTCATTAAAGCTAGTGTCCTTGACATGGAGGTAGAGATTCAGTTTCTATTTTTGAGATGCTGTGATATGTGTGCAGTAACACTTCCCCCTGCTGGTCATTATGTATAACGTAACAAAGCTGGAAATACCATGGGATGACACCAAAGCCAGAAACAAAGACACTATGATGTGCAAATGACATGAACTTTTAATTCTTTACCCCTATCAGAGTCTCAGAAAGAATCCTCTCACCATTTGCAAAATGATTCTGTAAAATGATATTCCTGAGACTATCAGGAAGCTGATATTCTCATGTCCTGTTTTGTCAACTTCATATGCAGCAATGATTACACTAGCAATCTCTTCTGCCTGACACTGGCATGTTTTGTTTTGTTTCTAATTCTAAACTGATTTAAAAATTGTTGATTGGATTGGGTGTCATTCAAACAGATCACAGATATTTATGTCTGTCTTTCATGGATATAAAAACAACACATCAATCTTAATGGAAATAAAAATATTTAAATTTAGCAATGGCTGGAAGATGGCTCACTGTATAAAAGTACTTGAAGTGCAAGCAAGTGTGAGGACCTGAGATGGAATCCTCAGAACCCACATAAAAGCTAGATGCCCAGTAGGAACCTCCATAATCCCAATGCTTCTGCAAAGAGATGGACAATAGAGATGGGAGAATCCCTGGAGTTCCTGGGCCAGCTATCTTTGAATACACAGTGGGAAAAAACAGAGACCTTGTCTGAAACGAGGTAGAAGGTGAGGAATGATACCTGAGGTTTCCTCTGAGCTCCATACATGTGCTGTGGCATTCACACACATGCTCAAGTATGTATATACTTACACACACTCTAACACATGCATGCCCACCCATATACAAAATTAAAATTAACAAAATGAAAATCAAGTGAAACTTATACTGCTACAGGGCAACATGCAGTTTAGTTTTGTCGGAAGTGACAGGGACATAAATTGTAGAGTTAGTGCATGTGATTCTGTGTACTCAGTTATAAACTGTGGAGAGGAGGTGGCAGAGGGAAATACCCTTGGAGCTTTCTTCCCTGGGAATTTTTTCAACAGCTTCCCCATGCCTCTCTTCATGAATTCTCATGTTTTTAGCATCTGAGTTTAAGGTCAGTTCCAACAGAGCCCATCTTAGCCATTATCTTCTGACCTTGGCTCTAAGAACATTCCTTATTTAGCAGTTTGATGTGGACTTGTGTGTTGTAGGAAAACCCTTTACAGGAAGCTTTGGGCACATGGATGGCCAGTTACCAATAGACCTGTTAGATGTAATCTGTTTAACCTCTCTAGACATGCTAGGTTAAGGTTTTAGTTCTTGCCATCTTTATTCAGATACTCTAACGAAGGAGACTGAGGCATCAGCCTCACTCAGGTGTTGATGCTGCCTTAGAAATCCAGAAAAGGGAGGCTGCCTTTTCCTGCTTAAGAGTCAAATCTAGCTGACCCTTAGTGTCTAGATGGTAACACACGTAGCACATTGCCTTGTTCTTTTTAAAAATTACATTTAAAACATTTAGTTGGGTGTGATGGTGCACGCCTTTAACCCCAGCATTTGGGAGGCAGAGGCAGGCAGATCTCTGTGAGTTTGAGGCCAGCCTGGTTTACAAAGAGAGTTCTAGGACAGCTAGGGCTACACAGAGAAACCATGTCTTGAAAAACCAAAACATTTTTTTTTCATATAGTATATTTTGATTATACTCTTCCCTGCTACCCCCCCCACCAAGTTCTTTCCAACTCTGCACCATCCAATGCCATGCTCTCTTTCTCTCACACAAAGAAAAATCCAAAAGGACAAAAAGAAAAAAAAAAGTCAAACCAAATCAACCAAACAAACAAACAAAAAATACACACAAAAACCTGGAATCTGTCTTATTTCAGCTAGTGACTCCTGAACATGAAGTCTGCCCTGGAGTGTGGTTTTTACGCTCTGTGTACTTCATCTTAGAAGACCGATTCTTCCTCTCCTGACAGCCACTGTTTACAGACAGCTGCTTGCTTAGGGGCGGGATTCTGTGTCTACTTTCACTTGTCTTGCTTGGATTTTGTTTGTGATGACTTTATGCATGCTGTCATAGTCTCCATGAGTTCCTATGTGTGTCAGGTGTGCTGTGACAGAAGATGGTGTTTCATTGACATGACCCATCACCGCTGGCTCTTAGAATCTTTTTGTCTCCTCTTCCATATGGATCCCTTGAAGGAGGGGTTTGATGAAGGCATCCCATTTAGGGATGAGTGCTCCAAGGTCTCTCACCATCTGCACATTGTCCAGTTGTAGATCTCTTTGTTAATAGCCATCTATTGCAAGAAGAAGCTTCTTTGATGAGGGTTGAGTGGTACCCTATCTATGGCTATACCATATGCCAATAAGAGTCATTTTATTCAGAGAAGCTTGAACCCTCTTCCAGAAACAGATGGAAATAGATGCAGAAATCCACAACTAACCTGGACTAAAATTGAAGTGAGAGAGGAGCAAAAATAGGAACAAAGGCGTCAAGACCATGACAGGGAAACCCACAGAATCAGCTGACCTGAGCTAGTGGGAGATCACTGACTGAGGTCTGACGAATGGTGAACCTGCATAAAATCAAACTAGACTCCCTTAATGTAGGTGGCAATGGTGTGACTGGGACAATATATGAGGCCACTGGCAGTGTGTCCAAGACCTAACACTAATGCACAAACTAACTTAGTGGAGCCTATTCTATATGGAGAGATACCTAGCCCAGCCAAGACACAGGGGTGCAAGGGTGGAGAGCTGCCTTGGCCCTGCCTCATTTAGATGGTGGGACAGATTTAGTAGACTTCCTATGGGAGACATTACCCACTCTGAGAAGCAAATAGGAGGAGAGGGGAGTGGAGGGGATGGGAGGAAAAGGGGGAAAGGAAACTGGGATTGGAATGTAAAAAATAATTTAATAAAAATGCAAAAAAGAGTCATTTGATCGCTGTGTTCATTTAGTAGAATAATAGTACTAGATTTTCCCCAAGGTCCTATGACTGATCTAGTCTCCAGTTCTTGGCTTCATTACTAGTGTCAGGTATGGATTATATCTTAAATCCAATAAAAAAGCTGTTGGTTATTCCTACACATTTGTACCTCTATTGTATCAGTATGTCTTGCAGGCAGGTTTCTGTTGTAAGTTGCAGGGTTTATAGCTGGGTAATATTAATGATTACTTTTCCAGTAGTGTGCAAAGTACCAGTAGTGTGCTAGTCAGTAGGGAATAGCATCTATCTAGTTGGGCACCAGCTATATTTCTCCACATTTGATGACATGAGAAGGTGGTGTCTTCAGTAACACGACATTACCTTCAGGTTATAGAAGGTAGCAAATGAATAGCATTTCCAATAGCCTGTTTTTTTTTCTTTTGTAGGGATGATGTGTATGGTCCCCTTTAATGTGCCTTGTTAACTGGGTCCTCTGTTTTTCCCCCCCACAGTTGCAAATGAAGCAGGAGATAAGAATGCCCGTCCACTTGCCCGATTTTCCCGTGAGTACATCATGCTTCACTCTTCCTTGGGCTCCCTGAGAACATGGTCACAATAGGCCTTTGCTTGTGAATTTCTCCTCGACAATTCTGTTAGGTGTTGCTTACACAGTGATGTAGAAAATGCCTCCTTCCTGTTAATATGACAGCCGCATCGCACACAGGCTACTTCTGAACCTGGGCTTTCTGGTCCTTGGAACCACGGTCTCCAAGCTGTGCCTGAGGGCTTTGTTTTTTGAAGCTTAGTTTCCAGAGCAGCAGAATCAGTCTCACACTTGCTTTGGAGAAATGTAGAGCCCTTTGGCTTCCACTCCTGACTTCCTTACCAAGAGCCTGTGTTTTAATAAGTGCCTACTTGTTTCTTGTTCACAGTACACTTTGAGAGGCGCTATATAAGGCATATCTTCAGAGTACACTGCAGGGTGGAGAGGGTTCAGTGGTCCTGAAGGGAGGAAGCTTGTAGCTACTAGGCCTATCCATGTGTGAAGTGTCATTGCAATTCATGGTGGATTGGTGCACTTATACCACTGTCATGGAGACACTGTGGTTCAGATGGACTGAATGGCTTTCCCTTGGGCTCAGAAATATCCCCAAGGCTGCAGCCAGGCTGTTGTTTCCCACCTAATTTGTCCAGGTCCTGATCTTGATAAGAAAGTAGCCATTAAAGCTTCTCAAAGGCTTCTGCGCCCATGTGATCAGTAAATTAAATAGTAAGTTTGTAGATGCTCTGGAATGAATGCATTCCAATGAACGCAGTGGGGATGCTGGAGCCAGAGAAGGACTAGACAGAGATGCTATGCAAACCTTCGAGTTGAGGAGTGGTTAGCTCCTAAATAAAAGCAGGAGGAGGTTCCCCTTACACCAACACTATTTTTGCCTCACTTGATTTTCCTTAATTTTATTTATGTTTTTCTGGGCCCTGGGTTTCCAGTCTGAAAGATGGAATTATAATCCCTTTTACAAAATTGTTGCCATCACATCCCATCATTGCTTTATGCCAGGTGGGGTTGACGAGACCTGAGTGTGACAGGGCCAGAGTGATCTCAACACATCAAGTTAAAGTGTGGTTTTTCTATTAATAGGGATTCTTCTAACGGCTGCCTTCTCACTCTTTTCAGAAAGTTTCAAATTTTAGGGTTGATTTCCCAGAGATGTTTTTTTATAGAACTGTAATGATGTATGCTAATGACAGCGCACTAAGTGCTTGCATTGTAGACACCGCAATGAATACTCCGCATGGGCCCTATTTTTCACTGTCCACCTACCTGAAATCATTATTTCCAAAATAAGTATACTTATTTTTCATCTCTGAGCAACAGTCAGGGGGTGAATAATCTGGTGGTAACTTGATCATGTTACATGACATGTAGGATTTATCTCGATGGGAACTCTTGACACATCACAGGTGTGGGAAAGGAAAGGGTCCTTGAACCATGAATCCAGGAGGCTTGGAGCAAGCAGTAAGACCCTTTTATGGATGGAAATGGCAATTTCTCTTGAAGGTAACTTCTGCGATTTCTCAGCTATGGGATTGATTTGAAAGGATGACATGTCACAGAGCAGCTTGTTCACCAGTGATGAATAAGGACACTGGGGTGGAGGCTGGGGGAGGGGCTACACAGGAAAAATGGTTTGCAGCTATCCTTTGATGTGGGGCTAACAGGAAAGTGTCTTGACAGAGTGCAATATCCTGGGTGAAAGCTAGAGGGCATGCTAGGTGTTGTCTCTTTTTATAGCAAGTACTAGAGAGAGGAGAATTCAGGTGGTATTTAGGAAGAGAAGAATATTCACATTGTGCCATTGTTGAGTTGTCACTCTTTATATGCCATGCTGGAAGAATGGTGGGATGAAACATTCAGCATAGGAAGGGGGTGAGAACCCAGGTGATACCTTGGAGATGGAAAGATAAAAGGCTGTGCTTCTTCCTATTTTTTTTTTTTTTTTAAACAAGACAGTGATAGGTGGAAAGCCCAGCTAGGATATGCTATCCAATGCATGGCAAATAGGAGTCTTTGCTGTGAGACCTGCCTGAACCCATCCGAGGGAAGGAAGCATGGGAAAAAGGTCCTGGGAGACTTTGTCTCCTATTTTCCTTTCATTTCAAACTTCGGCTTTGACTTTTGATCAGCCTGGCTTCAATCAGAGCATCTCCCTAATAACTGTGGGCAGACAGTAGTGCTGAGGTCATCGTTTGAAAATGGCATCTGCCGTGAGGGTAGCCATCCTAATACTAGAGCCCTAACACCATCATCCTGGCCCTTCTGTCCTGTGTATGGAGGGGTCAGGAGGATTGACATGTAGAGAAAGTGATTTCTAATCTTAAAAACGAAAAGCTATTCTCCACATCAGGGAAACAAATGGCTATGTGCAATGTTCAGACCCAGCCACAGTGTGGCAGAACAGGCTCAGACTGTGATGCACTTCTGCCTCCCAGGAGCCCCAAGACACTGCATACTGCTTTGGACTAATACTGTGAAGGAGGTCCAGGGCACTCAAGACACATGCAGAGGACACAGTGGTCTCAATGTTTACATAGTCTTACAGTTTTATTCTAAAGTTCTCATTGCTTTTCTAGAAGATGGGAGAATGATTTCTCCCTGAGATGAGCAATCATCGAAAGAAAATGGTGTTTTTCTGACTGGAGAGATGGGTTAGTGGTTAAGAAACATTGGTTGCCTTTCCAGAGGGCCTATTGAATCTAATTCATAATGTCTTTAGATTTGGCACATCTCATTCGGAAGGGAATAGTATAGGCACTGATGGAGATCTTGAAAAGCTCAGGTAATTAGGGAAGTTGGCTGATGAAGCTAGAGGTGGCACTGAGGGTCTTTGCTCTGGATGAATAATCCTCATCCCAGCAGCAGTGGGTAGGAGGAGCGGCAGTGTGCACTAGGATGAGCACTGGTGCCTGCAGGGTTCAGACAAAGGCCAAGGCATCATCTTTTACTGGTGATGCTCAGATTGTGATAGATGATGCTTGGGTGGAGAGAATTTTTTCTAGATTGTCACCATTAGGAAGGGCTATCACAAACAATGGGAGCTTGGGTTGGGAAGGGGTAGATTCTGGAACCAGGATAATGAGAATAGGATAATGAGAAGGAAGAACTGGGCTATGGGCTGCAGCTAGTGGCTGGGCTGTCGGTATTCTGAAGAGTATGTGCCGTGGAAGAGGTTTAAAGGACCCAGGGAAGATGGCTTCAGCAGTATGCAAGGTATGATGTGGCTGAAATGCCAAACTCATAGAAACAGAGAAGGGAAAGCAACTACAGAGAGATAGGGTGAGTAGATGCAAGACATTGTTTTTGGTGGGTATAAAGGTTCAGTTATGAAAGATGAGCAAATCTTTGAGATCTGCTGTTCACAGCATGGCAATTCACACTTAAGGCATATTAGGGGATAGCTTGTACTACATTTTCAAACCACAAACCACCCAAACCCAGAACAAACAAGAAACCAGAGGCCACTTTGGATGGACGTGCTGATGGTGGTGATGGCGTCATGGGTATATGCTTATGACCCAGTGTCAAAATGTGCACTTTAAATCAATGTGTTTTCATATATTGATTATTCCCCCAATAAAACTAAACAAACAAACAAAACCCCCAAACAAACCAAAAAAACCTGAACCTTAGGTATGGGGGGGTGGGCAGAAGCTGGATTTGAGATTTTTTGATTTCTTATATATAATCCAAAGTATCACTTAATCCTTTAGCTCCTGTGTTGGGCTCTAGGTCTCTCCCCACAGTCTTCAGGATCTGAGCTTCTCTGTTTCTCACTCATGCAGTGGTGGCTCTAGAATGTCTACGGGGGAGGGGCAGGGCAGCTCCATGGTTCTTGAGTGAAAACACAGGGACAGATCTAGGATGCAGAACAGAGCATGCTTTTTATCTTGCTGCAGACCTGTGTCTGCTCCCCAAAAGGAGCAGTATCTGCTCTAAAGGAAACAACAGTATCTGCTCTAGATATGCATGTGAAACTTAAGTAACAACAAAAACTCAGATTAGGAGGATTTGACTGTGACACGATCTGAATATTCCACCCCTAGTTCATCTTTTTCTACCCTTTTGGTATGTAAAATTTAGGATGATGTTTTAAGTTCCAGCAAAAGATAAATCTGAATAATTTGAAAACTCCTTCATTTTTACTTGCATAGTGAACCCATGAGGTTCTAGCAATGAAGGAAGAATTTAATATCAGTGTATCCAGCTCTATACCCACTGATTTCACATTTTTCCCATAGCTTCTGGTATCATGTTTTAATGCCCAGGTAATGAAAGAATTTGGGTTATGCAGTATGGGGAACTGCATTTGAAACCTGATTCGGACTTTAAAACATGGCAGATTTTGTTTTCCAAAAGTGTTTGCATCTTTCCCATCCCACATGTTCTTTTTAGAATATGAGACCAATAAACCTCACACTGAGACCTAAGCCTGCATCTTATCCTGTAAATGTAGCAGAAACAATATGATGTGACTTATTATGTTATATCATAGAAGACAATGTGGCTTTCACATGCTGCAAGCTGGGATGTACTTAGGGCACTGTCATCATGCTGTGAGGAATGGGAAAGAGGAAGTCTAGTAAGATAGAAAATGTTTAAGCAAATAACCACTCCATTCTAGTCTATTCTCTCTCTCTCTCTCTCTCTCTCTCTCTCTCTCTCTCTCTCTCTCTCTTTCACACACACACACACACACACACACACACACACACACACACACACACAGAGAGAGAGAGAGAGAGAGAGAGAGAGGCACACAGGCACATGCACACACTACTCTCACTCCAACTCATGCCAAAAATTTTTGACCGAAACATTTGGGTGCTCAGCCTCACAAAGCTGTACTAAGTTGGAGCAACACTCTTGAGAGGATGGCCTTAGACTAGATCATCTGGGGGAGATATGGCCATCCACTGCATTCTAGTTCCCTCTGCCTTCCTGCCAGGTGCCATCTTAGGGTCCTGGTGAAGAGCTATCACATTATTGACCTGCCATCATGGT